CTCTCTCTCTCTCTCTCTCTCTCTCTCTCTCTCTCTCTCTCTCTCTCTCTCTCTCTCTCTCTTGTGCCAGGTACTAACCTGTGAAGATGGCGCTGTGCTGCAGGTACCTCGAAGACGAAGCTCGAGCTATGGCGCTGCAGGTAAGTCTCCCTGGCCTCCACCCAATCTCTCTCTCTCTCTCTCCAGTACTACTCTAGCTACTACTAGCGCCCAGTGCTGAAGACTACTGCTAACACTACCACTACAACTGCAGCGCTCCTCCAGAGTGCTGCTGCCAAATCCTGAAGACTACCTCCTGCCTCCTGAACTGCACGTGAAGTGCCTGGGAAGTCCCTATGAAATACCTGCAGCCTGCAGGGCGGGCCAGTTCTAAATAGTGCTGGCCTGTCCAGGAGGCTGCTCTTGCCAATGCCGAAATGTGCCAGACCCTGGCGTTGAAACTCAAACAAGGGTTGTCTTGAAAACAGGCCCAAAATGGCCTGTGCTAAAACCCTGGTCTGGTGCCTGAGTTTCAGGGCAGGTCGGTCTTATGAGGGCCTGAAAATGGCCCTCCATTTCAGGCTGAAAAGACTCAGGGCCTGGAGGGCCCTGTTTTAGGCTGAAACGACACAGGGCCTGTAGGCCCTTGTTTTCAGGCTTTCAGGCTGAAAACGTCACGGGCCTGAAAATGGTCCGTGCAGCCTGTTGCAGGTGCAGCATGTAACACCCCCCCCTCCTTATGAAGTCAAGTCCGGTCGAGGGCGAAGCTGGACGCAGGTGCGACGTGGAGCCAAAGATACCGGCTTGCCTTGCATCTTGCGTTCGTAGCGTGCGAGAACATCCGGAGCTGTTGCTTGGTGTTCCTCACGGGTCAACCAACGGTCGGCTTTGTGGGTGCAGTACGCAAAGTGTGCCAAGTATTCGGTCGGCCTGTTGCCGTAGCGTCGCTGGGAGATGATGTCGCCGACCTCTTGAAAACCGTCCATTGAGGGTGGGTCTTGCAATCGTCACCCGGGAAAATCGTCATCGTCCGCCGGCGTGTAAAGAGCCAACTTGTAGCAATGAAAGACCGAGTAGACGGGCAAGTGGGCTGGCACCTGAATGACGAAGGAAGGTCCTTTGGGTGCATTCCCAGCGGGTGCCACGATCGGCCAAGGCCCCATCCATTTCGGGAGGAGCTTGCGAAAGATATCGAGGCTGAACTCCACGGCAGAAACCCAAACGAGATCGCCGGCGCGGAATGGACAAAGAAGACGCTGGCAATTGGCCTGTTGGCTCATGTGTTGCTGCGTCTTAGCCATCTGGTCGCGTGCCTTGACAAGTAGCTCTTGCATCCGACGCAAGAAAAGAAGACGGTCGTTGCTCTCGACCGTTCGTGGAATGATTGTGTCCAACGAAGAAGTGACCGGCAAGCCGTGCTCAAACTCGATGGACGAGTTGTATGCCAAATCGACATCCGACAGCCGCTCAACCCAATCCTTTCGGTTGGGACGGATCAGAGTGCGAAGGAGAACCTGTGCGGTCTGATGTGCCCTCTCCGTTTGACCATTGGTTTGGGGGTGGCGAGCCGAACTTGGCTTGAGAGATGAGCCCCATCGTTTGATGAGCGCCAACCAAAAATCGGGCATGAACCGATTGTCGCGGTCGCAGATGATTTCCTTGGGGTAACCCTTGGTTCGAATCCAACTGGCGTAAAGAACCTCGGCCAACTCGGGTGCCTTGGCATGATAGCGGCAAAGCAAAAACATGGCGAACTTGGTAAGTCGGTCGACCACCGTGAGAATCCCATCCACACCGGTCTTGTGCTTGGGGAACGGCCTAGTAATGTCCATGGCAATCGCTTCCCTTCGGCGCAAGGGAACCGGTAATGGTCGCAACTCGTCGTACTGACGATGGTTGCGGGATTTGCAGCGTCGGCAAACCTCGCATGACTCGCAATAGCGTGTGACGTCGCCGAGAAGGCCGGGCCACCAAAATCGTTCGTGAAGCCGGCCAATCGTGCGATTGACTGCAAAGTGTCCGATGGCGGGAGCAACGTGGAACTCGCCAAGAAGTCGTGTACGCAAGTGAGAGTCACTCGGTACGCAAAGAAGGTCCTCCCCCACGTGCGGACAAGCAAGTACCCCTCTTGGATCCGATAGTGAGAAGGCGCCGGATTAGGAGAGGAGCAGTTCACGTACTTGTCACGAAACTCGGGGTCAACTTGGTAGCCGCGGATAAAACTATCCCGCAGTTCGTCGTCGATCTCGAAGGTCGAATAGAGTGCTGTACAATGATCCGGACGCCGTGAAAGAGCATCCACAAAACGGTTAGACTTCCCCGGAATGTGATCAGGAAAGAAGTCGAATTGGTCGATGAAAGCCATCCAACGGGCGATGGTGCTATTGACGGTGTCTTGGGTCTTGTAGAAGACCAACGTTACCCATCGGAATTGACTTCCACCAAGGAGGAAGTGTCGCCACCGATTGAGCGCATGGACGAAGGCTAGGAGCTCCTCCTTGCGTGCATCATCAATGGAGTGCATAACGGGCACTTTCTTGTTGAAGTACTCGACCGGGTGCCAGTCCACGCCATCGTGTTGTTTGAGGACGGCACAAATGCCATAGCCGGACGCATCCATAGTGACGTGTGTTGGCAATAGCGGGTCGTAGATTCCCAAGACCTCCGTAGATAATAGCGCGGCTTTGAGAGCCAAAAATGATTCCCGCGCATCCTCTCCGAAGTCAAACGACCGATCCTCGCTTGGTCAAGTGGGCCGCGATCTTCAAATATCCCTTGATGAAACATTGGTATAAGCAAGCAAGGCCAAGGAACGAACGGACATCCATGACGTTCCGCGGCTCCGACCACTCTTGGATGGCTTGAATCTTGTCCGACAACGGACTGATGCCCTCCGGTGTGACAAAATGGCCCAAGTATTCCAGATGCTGCCGGACACATTCGCACTTGTCGCGGTTCGCTTTGTACTTGGCGTGGCGCAGCGTCTCCAACACTCGTCGAAGGTGCTCAAGATGATCCTCCAACGTCCGACTATAGACGAGAATATCGTCTAAGTAGACCAGCACGAACCAGTCCAACATTGCACGGAACTCGTTGGTCATTGCCGCTTGAAAGGTCATCGGGGCGTTGGTGAGGCCAAAAGGCATGACCACCCACTCAAAATGCCCGTACCGCATCTTGAACGCGGATTTGTAGCGATCGTTCGGCCGGATCGAAATCTGATGATATCCCGACTTCAAATCCAACTTAGAAAAGTACTTTGCGCCACCCAATCGCTAAAGAAGATCGTCGATACAAGGAAGAGGCCCCGCATTCTTGACGGTTTGCACGTTGAGCTTGCGGTAGTCGATGCACAATCGTAGATCTTTGTTCTTCTTCCGTACGAAGAGAACTGGTGCTCCATATGGGGAGCTACTAGGGCGGATCCAGCCCTTGTCCAACAAGTCATCGAGTTGCGCGCAGAGGACCGTAAGCTCCTCCTCGCTCATGCGATAAATGCAACCTTTCGGTGGCACAGCACCGGCCTCAAGAATGATCTCGTGAGTGAAGAGTCGGCTACCGCGACGGTCCGTAGGAAACATAGGCCTATCTCGTCGGGTGCTCGTAAGCGCAAGTAGCCCGAAACGACTTGGCCGTCACCACTTGGCACCGGATCGAAGGGTGCAGAAGAGGAATAGTACACAGCACTTCGACGCCCCGAACGGTAAGAGTCCGCCGGTGGAAGTTGACCGTGTGATCCGCACTTGCAAGCCAAGGCATTCCCAAAATAATGTCGAAGTCCGTGTCCAAAATGTCGACGCCACCGGTCCGCATGCATGAGGTGCGAAATACACCGGTACGGCCTCGACATAGGGGTCGATAAGTAGATGCGTCCTTCCGCCCGCCAACTTGATCGCCGTCGGGTTTCCCTTCCTCCGAACTTATGAGCCAAGGCCAGCCCTTTGCATAAAGGCTTGGCTCATGAAATTGCGAGACGCGTCGTTATCCAGCAAAGCACTGCAGGACGCTTGCCCAACTTGGATGCGGACATAGAGGAGCGGTGCGTTGTTGTCATCGTACCGCTGCTTGCGAAACTCGCGGGCCACCTTGGTAACATACGCAAGGATGTCCCCCACCGCGACTTCGTCATCCGTCGACGAAGTTGGTGGTGCATAAAAGGATAAGTACGCGTGAAGATGAGCGCATAATGCTGCGCATTGTGGCCCCGGCAAGACGCCCGTGGAAGTTCATTACATTGACCATAGTAAATTCCTCGTTTGATAAAGATGGAAGTCTGATTTAAACGACCAGGTACGGCATCACATTTGACACCTAAGGAAGGTACTGCCCAACTGTGAAGTACATCAGCAGATGTTATAATCATACGTAAATGAGTTTTGGATGGTACAACCACTCGATTATCTACTTCTAATGAGAGGAAGCCATAGGAAATCCTCCGACGTGAGCGGGTCCAAGACCTCTATGTTAAACTTGCGCGCCAAATCCCGTGAAGAACCACTTGAAGTCGATAAGTCGCCGCTGCCGCACAGAGAAGATGCCGCACACACGTCTTGTCCTTGAGCATGAGTACCCAGCGTAGGAACGAGCCGGGCAGCATAGTCCTCATAAGAATATAGAAAAGGAGGACTATCGACTTCCACATGTGCCTCGGAACGAAGGGCGGTCACCCGCGAAGTGACCGATTCCGATGGCGTCGAGACTGTCGTCGAGCCACTCCCGGTCGTGCTCAGTTTCCCGATCTGCCCTTGCCTTTCAACGGGCAGCCCACTGTGTCGTGGAGACTGTTGTTACACCACAAACAATAGTGGCATCTCGTGCGTGCCTTGTACGCCTGTTCGAAGAGACCGTAGTGGGACCATGGGGCTGGAGCTGCTGCGCCGGGCCCGGGGATAGATGCGGTGTTTGTCTTCGTCTTGCCACGTCCTCTGCCTTTGCCGGGGCGGCCACCATCCCGGGCAGCTGCGAGTCTGTCCCCTTCATTGGCAGACACAGCCTCGCTAGATTGGTCGGTTGACGTTGCCGCCGCGACCACGGCCACTTTCGGCCGATGCTGATCTCTGCTCGGGCCTGTCGCAGACGAACGGTGGAGGTTCTTAGCCACCTTGTTCGTGACAATAATATGTGCGGCCTTGTCGAAGAGCTCCGCCATTGTCGTCAGGGTGTCCTCGACGTGAGTCAAGGCGTTACCCAACGCCGACACGACCTCGAGATAAAGTAGTGTTTGACGGCTTTCAAGCCCATTTGAATGTCTAGGACTGGATGTCAAGCGTTGGTACTCAGCAATCCAGTCAACACTCGGCAGCGTGCCTTGTTCGAAGGTCATCAACTTGTCCATTGCCTTGATCTTCGGCGGCTCTACTTGGAACCGCTTATGCCACGCTGCCTTTAGATCATCCTAGCTGATCTTGGTGTACAAGTCGGCAGCTACCACCCCGTACTTGGACAAGAGATTGTCCAACCATGCTTGGCACGCACCCCCCGATCGGGAGTACAAGTATGCGTGATGTTTGTCCTCACTGACGTGGTGTAGCTGCAACTTGAGCTCGAACTTGCGGAACCACGGAATCGGGTCCATCTTCGTCGAATCGTAAAAGATCTCCTGATCATCGAACCTTGGAGTCGTCTCGCGTGGTGCCGAACTCAAGTTGGCCGCGGCAGCACAGATCCGCTGCTCCAGTTGTTGTGTGGCGGTTTGCTGTAGCTGCGTGTCGTCCTTGAGGGCTCCGACGTCGATCTCCAATAAATTGAGGCGATCGGAGGTGTTGGAGGAGCTGGCATCGGGGTTGGTGACGGGTCGTGCTCCAGCTGCTGGAGACGGCTGTTGAGTTGAGCCAACGTGTCGTCGAGGCTGTGGATGTCCTCCTGCTGTGTAATGCATGTTGCCAGGAGATCCGTGAGATGGGAGAGGAGTAGAGCGATCTTGCTTTCACTCTCTTCCATCTTACCATTCTCGGCCCCGGCCCGCCAGTCCGCTGCGATTGTGAGCAAAGCTCACTCTCCGCTGAATATCTTCTCGCGTGGTTGAATTCGTTCTTCATCGGCAGCCTTTGCTGCTGCCTCGTCTTGCTGGCGCTGCTGTTCGATTGCCAACAGACGTGCCTTCTCCGCATCCTCTGCCTTCTTCTTCTCTACGGCTGCTACCTCATCCGCCCGTTTCTTGGCTTCGGTAAACAAAGCCGCCATCCAGGCCTGATAGGCCTCAGCTGTTTCCCCGGGCTTCTGATCCATGCCGGCTGTTTGTAAGCGCGTGAGCATAGATCAGGCCGGAGGACTGCTGACGTGGCACTCTCTGCTGCTGATGTGGCACTGCTGTCGGCTGATGTGTCCTGCTGACATGGCCTGCTGACATGGTCTGCTGATGTGGCCTGCTGACGTGGTCTGCTGATGTGGCCTGCTGACATGGTCTGCTGACGTGGCCTGCTGACGTGCCAACTTACCAATGCCGCTGCAGGGGGTACCCGGAGACAGATAGAGAAGATAAGACCAGAGGGAGCAACAACATAGGTGGGGAGGGGTAGGTGGAATAAATCGCCCAGATAAGGAGCCACTAATCAAAAAGAAAAGTTCGAACTTTTGCAGAGAAATCTTTTTTCGAGAAAATAAAAATCCCGAGTTTTTGCAGTAGGTCTCCCGATCTCCCTTGAAGTGCGAAATTATCAATGAGAAAAAAAACTTCGAACTTTCAGACTGCCAATGATTATCAGATAGCGAAAATCATAGAACTGCGAAAGAAAAAAGAATTCCGGAAAGAAAATGAAAAAAATGTTCGGAATCACTCAGATGCGCAGTTTGGGAAATGGTAACCGCAAGAGGGATTTCCCGTACCGTTTTCAAAAAAAAAAAAAAAAAAAAAAAACGAATTTCGGAAAAAAAATATTCCGGATTTCCAAATAACGGGAAATTGCAAAAGGAAATCAAAATTTTTGAAAAAGAGATATTCCGGATTTCCAACAACGAAATTTTGAATTTTCAGAAGAAAAACAAAAACGGAAATTTCAGGTGTTGCGCTCCTGCAATTTTCCACAACAGAAATAGCGGGAAAACAAAATCCAAGAAAAGAGAAAAAAAATCGATTTTTTGGCAGTGAGGTCAAAATCGTGATTTTGGGTGCTAATTAGTGTGCTCTAATCAATCAATCAATCAATCAAGACTAATCAACTAATTAGTAATTAGTCCCCGCACACGTGTCAGATCAGGTTGTCCTGATTCACGTGCGGTGTTCCGATACCAACTGTTACATGCCCAGTTGGGCGATGTATATATATATCCAAGCATCCACAATGTGATGAAAAGGACTGAATGGACAATGCAGTGCAAGTGGAATCTCAACAAGCAGTGTACATCCTGAAGCATACAAAAATGGTGCTTGGTAGCGCAGTGGAAGACTTAGATATAAACCCTGACCTGACCGGGACTGACCTCTATCACGTAGTGCAAGACAGCGCAGCAGAATGCTAGAATACCAATGACTAGCCCAATCAATGTCGCAACGCAGACCAAACATACATCATCCTCATCACAAGGTGTAAAGGGGCCTGGCGCTACACACAGGAAGAATGCGCCAGGTCCAGATCATGCACAGACGAAGAGGAGGGAAACAGACGAAGAAGAGGGGGGGAGAGATGGGAATGTCGTCAACACCAAGTCTTCGTTACAAGTCCCAAATAATCCCTTGTCAAAATGTCTGAAGCCCAATGTCGAGTCTGGATCCAAATGTCACCAATCCCGCTCTCTCTCGTAGTCTGCTGATGCAGTGAAGTCAGGTAGCGAGAGGGCGAGAGGGAGATGGTGGACTGAGGAGAGGAAGAAGAAGAACTCGAGCAGAGGAAGAAGAAGAACTCTCTCTCTCTCTCTCTCTCTCTCTCTCTCTCTCTCTCTCTCTCTCTCTCTCTCTCTCTCTCTCTCTCTCTCTCTCTGGCGCTGTGCTGCAGGTACCTCGAAGACGAAGCTGGAGCTATGGCGCTGCAGGTAGGTCTCCCTGGCCTCCGCCCAATCTCTCTCTCTCTCTCTCTCTCTCTCTCTCTCTCTCTCTCTCTCTCTCTCTCTCTCTCTCTCTCTCTCTCTCCAGTACTACTCTAGCTACTACTAGCGCCCAGCGTTGAAGACTACTGCTAACGCTACTACTACAACTGCAGCGCTCCTCCTGCTGCTGCCGAATCCTCAAGACTACCTCCTGCCTCCTGAACTGCACGTGAAGTGCCTGGGAAGTCCCTATGAACTACCTGCAGCCTGCAGGGCGGGCCAGTTCTATATAGTGCTGGCCCATCCAGGAGGCTGCTCTTGCCAATGCCAAAACGCGCCAGACCCTGGCGTTGAAACTCAGGGCCCAAAATGGCCCAAAATGGCCCAAAAAGGGTTGTCTTGAAAACAGGCCCAAAATGGCCCGTGCTAAAACCCTGGTCTGGTGCCTGAGTTTCAGGGCAGGTCGGTCTTATGAGGGCCTGAAAATGGCCCTCCGTTTCAGGCTGAAAAGACTCAGGGCCTGGAGGGCCCTGTTTTAGGCTGAAACGACACAGGGCATGTAGGCCCTTGTTTTCAGGCTTTCAGGCTGAAACGACACAGGGCCTGTAGGCCCTTGTTTTCAGGCTCTCAGGCTGAAAACGTCACGAGCCTGAAAATGGCCCGTGCAGCCTGTTGCAGGCGCAGCATGTAATACCTGGCCTTCAAAAAAAAAAAAAAAAAGCAGCACTGCAATACAAACTTTTTCTTGGTGAGGGTCATTCCGAAATTCCTATCCAAATCCAAGAAAAAACAAATACCAGAAATAATTTAAATAAATAGAATGTTTGGGACACTGCCTTCGCCCAGATCAGATCTGGACATTTGGGTGGCATGGTGTTCAGGGCCAGGTTCGGCGCAACCATGAGCAAAACAGTGTGGAACAGGGTCAAGCACTAGCAGAACTCAAATCAGGAGAGGAGATTGAGGGAGGAGCAGCCCGTTACCTGTAGTCTAGCAATGTAAGGAGGAACACCTGTAGTCTCAGGCCTGAACAGTGCGCAGTCATGTACACGATACAAGCGGCCACCTACTAAACAGCCAGCATAGTATGTCTTCCCATCCCGAGTCGCAAGCGGCTTCCCAAACCATTCCATCTCAGGAGCCTCGTCCAGGGCATCATCCACAGTCTCCAGTGTGTCAGTTGCAGCAACCCCCTTGCCTTGTTCCACTTCAACTTTGACACGGTTTTCCACCTTGCCTGTCGAAAAATCCAAATCCCCAGTGCCCCGTACACCACCTTTCACAACTGCCTCTTCAGTTCCAGGTCTGCTGCTGGGACCTTGTCCCCCTAGTGACCTGCCTGTTCTCACTGCTGCAGCCCACAAAGCTGCAGGGGCGTTCCCCCCACTGCGGGACCCTAGCGGGAGTCCTGCACCTGCAACTTTCTCATCCTGCACGCCTTGGCCATCTGTCTGGCCCACGTACAACCAGTCCATGTCAGCTCCTCTTCCACTGCCAGTCTGCAAAGTTCCGCTCGAGCTCGCGACTGGCTCCTGTGGATGGTCTTCACTATGGCCCATCACATTCCCAACAGCGTCATCGGGATCAACTCCCAACCTTTGAGTGGTGGTTGGTAACCCCTGTGACGTGATCAGCATCACCGAAGGGTGCTTGTGAGTTGCTCCCACATGTGGTGCAGCTTGATAAGCACCTCCTTCAGCATGGACCACCGAACCAGAAGTTGGACCAGGTCCACCACTGGATGTTGATGGCAGTGGTACCCCAGGCCTGTGCTGCAGAGTCGCCTGTGCAGCTGCCCCTGCAGTTGCAAGCTCGTGGCTTAATCCCGACACAATGGCCATAGCGCTTGATGAGCCGGCAATGGATATTGGCACCAGATTGCTTGTGCTTGGCCCAAGTGGAATGGTCCCTCCTCTGACACCTGACGCAGACCCTCCCCACATACTTTCACCTCCCGTCCTTGCCGCTGAGCACTCCTCACCACTGGAAATCGGCTGACCTCGCTGCTGTTGCTGAGCCACTGCAGCTGGCAGCGCACCTGGGGGCTTTCCCCCCGGCACAACCCCTGTTACCCCCGGAACGGATCCGGCCGGAAGCCCTTCCATGAGGGGCTTTGGAAACTTCCTACCAGTCACCCCGCCCATTACTTGCTGTGACGCAAAGCCTTGAGGAATCTGCATGCCAGCTGGGACCATCGGGTTGCTTGCAGCAGACACTGCCCTTGGAGTTGCCGCAATGCCTCCACCTGGCAAAGGCCCTCCGCCTGCCCCAGTACCCCCTGCGGTTGGTGGCGTGGCCGTCCCTGCCACATTCACACCACCCCCAGCTCCTCTCCCTCCGCCTCGCCCCCTTCCCACACCGCCTGATCCAGCCATCAAGCTGATCACGACAGGGTTTTTGCTCTGGATTGGCCCAAAAGCAGGTTCCCGACCTTTGTCCTTACCCTCAGAAATGCAGGTGCTGCAGAACCAATCACCCTCTGGGATAACAGTCAGGGGTGGTTGAAGACACCGTAAGTGGAAGGCCAATTCGCATGCATCACATACAATTATGTTTTGTATGCGGGGTTCTTGCTGTTTGCATAACTGACATGTGGTAGTGAAGTCCACAGGCTGGCAAAATGCCCCAGGGAACAAAGGATGTCCCCTTCCGGGCCCCGGTTGAATAAGCTGCTGCTGCTGCTGCACCAATAGTGGGGTTGTTAAGTGAGCTCCGGCCACTCCCGATGACATTTTGGTTGGCTGTAGTTTCCACTGCTGTTGTTGTTGTTGCTGCTGCGGCTGCTGCTGATGCTTCAATCTGGGCTGCTGCTGCTGCTTTTGCTGTGACTGTTTCTGCTGTGGCTGCTTCTGACCCTGCTGTTGGATTGCTCGTGGGACTTGATGCTGAGATGGGGCCTCTTGCTGCTGCACCTGTGCAACCTGCTCTTGCCGTTGTTGTTGAGACTCCGCAAGTGGCACCTGTGGTGGTGGTTGCTGTCTATATTGCTGCTGTTGCTGTGAGTTTTGCACTTGCTGCTGCTGCTGATTCCGTTCTTGTTGCTTCTCCTTTGTCTGCTGCTGCTTCTGATGCTCTTGCGGCTGTGGAATTGACAAATCCTCAGCTGTCGGCAAGTGCTGCTGCAGCTGCTGCTGAACCTGCTGTTGTTGAGAAGATTGGAGACTCTTTTGCTGTACATCCTGACGTTGCTGAGAAGGTGGCTGTTGTCCCGGAACCGGCAGCGGCCCTAGCAATAGATGCTGAGAGGATACATTGTGGTTTAATCCAGTAATGGAACTGTTTGGCCCGATCACCACTTTCGAACCATCCATTGCCGCTATGGACATCAGGTAGGACGTGTCCATTCCTTCAGCGTCGCCTCCTCCCATCGCTGAAGAGACATTTATGGTGCCGAGCCCAGAGTTGAACTCTCCAGTGGGAGGGAGAGACGAGGGAGCTGGACCTGCAGCAGCAGCGGCCGCTGCTGCTGCTGCTACTGCAGCCGCTGCTGCAGCATGTAGAGCCTGTGCCTGTGCGCGTGCGATGGCCGCCTCCCTGTTCGCAATTGCATTTGGTGTCTTGGGCGGGCGTCCACGCGGTCTTGTCCCGGGGGGATTATGTGGGGCAGTGCCAATATGTGCTTGGATTGCCTGCCATTGTGCAGGAGTCAGAGAGTGACCTTGTGCCAGCTGTGCCAGTGCTTGCTGAGCTGGCAGAGGCAGTTGCTGGGCTGCCGCGGTCAGTTGAGCAGCAACGGCAGATGGAAGCACACTTCCAGGCACTGCACCTCCAACTTGTCTCTGCACGCCTCCTGCTCCAGAAGAGAGATTGGAAGACACCAACCCTTCAATGATGGAACCCGCTCCTGCTTCCCTTCCAGTTCCTGCCACACCGTTCTGCATCGACCTTACTTCCGTCTCAAGGACTGTAAATGATCCTCCCCTCACTGATTTGGAAGTCGACATATGTGACGACATTGCCAAAGGCAGCTCTGAGTTACGAGCATGGGCTACCGCCCCTACGGTGCTTCGCACCCGGGCACTTGAATCGGACTGATGCAAGCCCGATTGCTGCTGCCTACGGCTGCGTGATGACGTTCCCGTTGCACCTGCTCCCCCAGCTGCATTTCCAGATGCTTTCTTCGTTCCTGGAGGCTTTGCAGGCGTACCAACTGCCACTCCAGCTGTGGCTGCAACTGCCTTTGTTGCCTGTCATATTCATCCAGCAGCCACCACCAGCAAATTTTAGCGCTCAATGTTTCACATGCCATAATCAGGAGCAGAGACGGTCAACACCTTGTAGTTCTCAACATTGCAAATGGTTTAGCCAGCACTCCCAGAGCCTAAGGCACAAATGCTTCTGGTCCAGAAAATAAAATTTGAGGCATCCAAAAGTGGGAACACCAAGGCACTCTGCCTCTTCTTTTACTCTGTTTCGTTCCGCAGATGATCTATCCCGTACCTGCCCTGTGGCAGAACCGCACACAAATCTAACTTCTGGTCAGCAAATCAAAAGCGCAAAAATTATGCCGAATGACACAATGCTATTCAATGCTTGCCCCTTCAACAAAAGGCAGGAGGCAGTAGATGATCTATGCTTTTACATTTACTCGTACACATAATACACACGCACAGAGACATCACATCCCCCCAGAAGGTGGTAACTGATGGGAAACCGGCAGGCGCGAAGAAAGGGCCAGGGAGGCCAGGGGAAGGCGTCCTCCTGTCGTCAAGGAAACTAAGCAGCAGCTGAACACCGTGGAATCCCTGCAAAAGTGCATGGACAGCAACACTCTGCACCAGTATTGGGCCAGAGACGTGCACAAGACGGTGCACAAGGTCAGCAATCAACCAGCAATGCTGCACTTGTTTAATTAAGTGCAAGCTACCACGGCCATCAAGAGCTTGGGTGCTGAGAGTCAGAGAATGGGAATTTACCAAACGGGAGAGCGACTCGCACTTGCAGCTTAGGGTCAGGCCCCGCTTCTGCTGTGTTTTCATTCGTGCTAAGAAAGCCAATAGACCTGGCTGCTAAACTGTTGCACCCTAGTCCTCAGCAGCAATGACTTGGAGCACAATAGAGAACAGAAGCTAACTTAACACCTCCCCGTAGCTGGCACTCACACCTATTCTTTCTAATCCATGCACACTGGCCAGCCTAAAACCTCTCTCTCACTTCATCAAACCCAGCCATTGAAAACTTGAACTGGGAACAGGAGACTGTCCGTCCAATCACAACACAGACATAGAGCCCAGTTTGCTCCTCCACTCTCAAACACACTAGCAACGACGCATCTGCAGTTCTCACCTTCTTCATTGTCTGGACTGCACTGGTCTTCCCTGCATTGGCAGGAGGTTCCCTTTCCTTTTCGGGCTCCTGCGCTTTTTCCACAGAGGCAATGTCAGTCTCTGGTGCCGGTTGCGGGCGGAGTCCTAGAACCTTTAGAGTGTCCTCAACTGTGTGTTTGGAGACCAGAGCTTTTGGCGGAACCAAGGCCACCAAGCTAGCCACATTCGCGTAACACTCGGCAGCTAAAGCCATTTCCTTGTCGGAGGGAGACTGGCCCGCCCTCATGTCTGCCATACTACCAAGTAACAGGAGGATCTCCGCTGTTCGATCAAGAATCGCCTCAATCTCTGCCTGCAGCAGGGCCTTCGACCGCTTTGCATTTGCCTTTGCAGCTGCCCGCTTCGCCTCCTCTGCTTTGTCAGACTGTTGGCGTCTCTCACCAGCATCTACATCTTCCTCCTTTTCACCCTCGTCATCCTTGTCTGCTTCCGGCCTTTCCGGCACACATTTTGCCTCGTCCGCACCGCCCCCATCTGCTCCATCGCCCTTGTTCGCCTCCACTATGTCCATCATGCTGCATCCGTTTTCGCCGTCGCCCTCCTTCCTCGCCATTGGCGCATCCAACAACTCCATTCTTTCATTTCCCATTGCCACATTTCCCATTGCCTCGAGTTGCAGATTACCGCGACACTCATCATCAGCACCTGCCATCTTTCCATCCCCCGATACGATCGCAGCCCTGTCAGCGGCCTCTTCATCCATCACTGCCCTTAGCTGGCATCTTAACCGGTCACTGTCCCGTTCCGCAGGGTCGTCTGGATCCCCATCAGTCATCTTCTGACACTCAGTTGAAGACGCCAAAGCCAGGGAAAGGGAAAGTGAAATCGCCTTCTCCTCGCAACTTGGCCCAGTCTTATCAGGAGGGCCAACTTCATGTGGATCTGCACACTTCATTCTTTTCACAGCAGGATAAGGAAAGTAAAGCTACCTTCCGTTTCTCTGCAATTATCGGCACAAAATACGATGGAGAAAACCGACTCAGGAATAGGGACAACAATATCCATATCCATTTAATAAGAATGCAAATAAAACACAACAAAAGAAGAAAGATGCATCAAACATGGATGAGGAGACGTGAGACAGCTCATTGTCAGAGAAATCAATCGATATAATGTTGCACACATGGTCTACATTCGCACTCACAGAGAAAAGACGTTCACAGAATTCACGGTTGTTGGCCCCAACAGTGCCTATTTTTAACTTTCTAACTGGGTCACAAAAATGCCCTTAATCCGAAAGACGATGAACGGCCACCTTCAAATGAACAACGAGTAGATCGTGCTCCCATCACCAAGGGGCCTCCCCGGACTCCATCGTATAAGGTTCCGGGCGTATACAGAAATCATAATATTTCAATAAATTAACTTTGGCTCCCTGCCCATTACAAATGCAACAAAAAACTCACAGAAACATCCATATACATTCAGCATACTATGTCTGTTGCACGAGTTTTTCAAAAAGAAACAACATAATTCCCCAAATGACCCATTTCCGTCTCTCAGTTCTCTGCTCAGTAGAACATTGCATTAGCAAGTCACTTAAATCTTACAAACAAAGCTCCAGCCACAGTATGTTGTAGAAAGGCATCGACCTTATGAGAGGGGATATCAGTCGTTGGCATAACCAACACCCTCGAACCCGATGACACATCAGGCACTTCTGCTTCACAAACCTCACAGTGCGAGGCTACGCCCGCTTAGCCCCTATGGGGCCCTATCTGCAACAAGGTCGGCCGCCCTAAGTGAAGGCAGGCACGACAGGCCCTTCGGGCCTCATTCTTCAGGGTACCCCGCATTGGGGAAATTCAGGCAGTTGCGTTGCGCCAGTTGGTTGAATGAATCCAGGCCCTGGGCCGCCTGTGTAAATGAATGTGAAGCAGGCCCTGGGCTGGATACGGGTACCGGGCCAAACACAGGCCGAAAGCAGTTGGGCGCATG